AGACCCTTCTTCTGAAGAAGGGTCTAGGCCCGAAACGTCAGCCTTCCTGCTCCTATGATGCTGCTTGGCCTGCTGTGTTCATCCAGCTCTACACCTCGTTATCTCAGGGTTTAGAGGGATACGGGCCAAATGCTGGCAAGTGGGACTAGATTTATATAGGATATGTGGTCGGCACGGACAAGTTGGATCGAAGGGTCAGTTTCCACGCTGTACAGCTCTATGGCCGTATGTGTCCTACTTTCAATCGTTAAAACTGCAAGGCGTTGTTAATCACTAAATGGGCACCAGACTGTGCAAAGGTTACGGATAGCTTGCCAACTTGAAGGTTATAATAATTGGCAGTTGTGGGCCAAGTTGGGGGCTGCTGGATGTGCCTTCTTCTCCAAGCGTCAAGTAAGTCATCTGAAACAGGGCACGGGGTTCACTGACCAGCGAACCGCACATGTAGAAGTGGAATTTTCATTCCAAACAAATGCGGTTAATGAATGGAAAGATAGAGCTTGCCCCTAGGGTTTTTTTAAAAATCTTGGTTGCCAATTGAGAAAATATAGCTGAAGTCAAATGTTTTTTGTTTGTTCTACACCTTGCACTACAAAGCATGTCACCATCTTCATGTTACTGCCACTCTGTTATTACACCAGTCTAGATCCCACTTGGTACCCGAGAGATCTCACAATGTGAAGGGAATCGCCCTGTGGACTCGCCTTCATTGGCTCTTCATGCTGCAAACAGTGAGGGGGCATCATCTTGTTACACATCGTAAGGTCGTGCAAAGCAGGCCATCTTTCCAAATACGCGCAGAAAGAGTTTCACCTGCCGCTTGAGACTGCAAAATTGGTGTAACTATATGTGCGCTGGCGTTCCAACTTTGAGAGGTCAAATCTTTTGTAAGGGCGAATTCTTGTTTTCGCACTACCCGCGACATGTCGGAGCTTCTTTCTTCAGCAAGGAGAGTTCAGTTGTAGCACCATCAGAATCTTGTTTAAGTGACAACATTCATGTTCCCATCTCTCACTCACTCCCTCACTTCGTGTCGGCTACAGCTAAACTGGGGCCGGGGTCACTGATAGAAAAATTCAATCCAAGACACAAAGCGTTACTCTACCCTCAGTGAGGGTGGTGACGCTGTGCAAGAAATTACACCCCCCCCCCCCCCCAAAGTTAGTGATTAAAGCAAACAAGTACATTCACATTGAAGAGGATGTTAGATGGTCGAAGGAAAGCCTAATAAAGGGATGCGGGAAGCGGGTAGATGGGGTCAGAATTAGTGCAACATTCACTAAACACTCCCACACGTCGCAATGAGGCCTCAGCATTGAGGGCATTTCCTCAGCAAAAAAAGGGAGGCGCATGTGTTTTGTAAACTCACGCACTTTTTCTTTTCCCGGGGACACAAATCAGCCGCTGGAACGCTACAACAGCAGATTTATTACCCGAGTCCATTTACTATGTTCTTCTTACTCTTGTCGCTGGTACTTGGCGCTGCTGTGTTGTTGCAGGAGCAGACTCTGTGCTGCAGCTGGGAATTGCTGACCTCCCAATAAATCATGGCTGCTTGCCGGCAGCACAAGAGTTTCTCTGTGAAGGGCTGAGAATGAAGCAGTAGTCAGAATAGATTGGAGCTGCCGGCGGGTGCCAGTGAGAAACACATCAGGGAGTGGAAGAGCCAAAGGATACCAGGGAAGGGAGTGTGTGAATTCCGAGAAGGGATTTGGGGGAAAGCACGCTGGGGAGGGCTGGGAAGATGGAGAATGGGACGGGAGGAGAGTTCCTCATGGAGAGAAGATAACTATTTGCTGTGTTCTGGTTGAGGTGTATTACATGTGGTTTGGGGGGTGGGGGGGGGGGGGGGGAGAGAGACGGAGTTTGTGGACTCCACGTGTAGTTAAAGTGTTGAATCCGGGTAAACCCACATTCTTCAGAGTAAGCATTTCAATTATTCTCAATGAATTTAGTCACAAAGCACAACTTTCAGTGTAAAGAACGACGATCTTACAAAGGAACATTTCCCCAGACCCCCATTTTCTGTTAGAAAATTACCATTTTTTGCGGGGGGAGGGTGTGGAAAGTCAGGTGAAGTGGTGGAGAAAGTTTGCAAATAGCCTTGTGGTATTATCGTTGGACTGTTAATTCAGAGACCCGGATAGCATTCTGGGGACATCGGTTCGAATCCCGCCATGGCAGATGGTGGAATTTGAATTCATTACAATATCTGGAATTAAGAATCTAATGATGACCATGAATCCATTTTCAATTTCAGGAAAAACTCATCTGGTTCACTAATGTCCTTTAAGGAGGGAAACTCCCATCCTTACCTGGTCTGGCCTACATGTGACCCCAGACCCACAGCAATGTGGTTGACTCTGAACTGCCCTCTGGTCAATTAGGGATGGACAATAAATGCTGCCTGACCAGTGACGTCCTCATCCCGTGAATGAATAATGAAAATAAATGTTCACCACTGGCCTGTGCAACCCAACTCTCTCATGCCTTGGACAATCCCTACCACCCAGCAAGCATCAAACGTTGTGCAAGTTCCTCCTATTAGCCAATCCCCTGTTACAGCATTTAAACTTCCTTATGATAACACCGCTTGTTCCCTGCTACCCCTACCTTTCGATATTAACAAGCATTCAGGTATAACGTAAAATCCTGGCACCTCATTGATACGTGGCCGACAAATGGGAACTGCTGGAAATCACTGAGGTTCTCCTCAAGAAATCTTCACATATGTGTACCAGGCCCGCATATGGCTTCGCTAATGTCCCAGTCGGTGACTGTTCTGCGCCCCCCCCAACCCTCAAAATATATTTTATTCCCAAAAGATAACACCGACCATTTCTTTCCTGAAGTACATGAACTATCCCACTATACTTCTCATTGTGCATTCACATTATTAAATGGCACACCACGTCAAACCGTTCCCCGATACCTTTCACACTGCCTGATAAATGTTCAGGGAATACTGTGATGACTGAAGGTTGTTTGGATAGTATTCGCTGCGGGCACAGACTACTGAGTCCATCCTTTAGGCTAGAACGAGGTGGTAACTGCTTCGACTTACAGTCTGGAGAAACTTCACCTCACATCTCTGCTTCCTCTACAGAAAGCTGCAAGTGCCCGGCAGTAAAACTCACTCAGAAAGTTTACCTGAAGAATAACTACAATTATGGTAAGTGGCCTTTATGGGCGAGAGCTCGTGGAATCGAATCGTTTTGGGGGTGACAAGAAACCAAAAGGGGACGGTGCTGGAGTCTGTTCCTCAAACAAATTCAATTATTCATTCGAACGTAGTAGTTGGGGCTATCCATCGGGAATTTAACTGCAAATTCTGTTACCTACAGTTTAAGAAAACGATAGATTGCTGGCAATTCTGAAATCGGCGTTATTTTCGAATCAAATGATGTTATATAAAATAAGAATTTTAGTTTGTTCCACATGATTTCGGTGGCGCCATCTAATATGTTAAAAGTTAAACCCCATTCTGATTATAGGAACATTTTGGGTGCATAATATTTACCACTTAACCAGCATTGTTTTCATCCTTGACTAAGAAATGCCTAGTTAATTGCTGGGTAAACTATGGAAGTTTGACATAGAAAACATTAGGATTGCTGCCGCGCCTAAACTTACACTGACTTTGCACAAATTTGGTAAAAGCGGTCAATTTGCTGACAGACAGCCCAGGGCTTACTCCAACTGCTTTCCCCACCAAAGTGAGGGTAGAGGAAATGAAATGGGCTCCAGCCACCGATTGCCCCCGCAGTGCTGCCGAGATGAAGCAAGGGAGCTGCGCTCACTGTGCGCAAGTAAACGCTGTTTATTTGTTTTGGGAAACTCATTCCAGTCATTCGCGCCAAAGTGAAAGAGGTGAGAAATAAATGTCACGACGTTGCCACGACGGTGGAGGTGAAAGATGTCTTGAAATCCTCCTTGGTGAATATACCAAAGGAAACGGTCACGCTTCACACGAGTTCGGCGTGTCTCTGTCCTGAAATTAAAACCAACGAGGAGTATGTTATCATGGGCTACGAGGACGAAGAGAGGGCAAGGTACAAACAACGTCTTGCACCGTTGCGAGCCTGTTGCTATCATTTTGCTGGGGAATTTGATCGGTGCTAATTGAGTCGCACTTGGGGTGTTTTTTTTCACAGATTACTTTTGGTGGAGGGTTCCATAGCTGTGAAATGGAAGGATCGACTTGGGAAAAGGATCAAGGTAAACTTTAACTCGCGTGAAAAGCAAAACATTTCCGATGCTGGAGATCTGAAACAATAGGAGATGCTGGAAACACTCAGCCTCTTTATGGAGGGTTAGATAGGTCCTGACTTAAACCAACCCTGCCCTAGAGAGCCACTGGGTACTTGGAGCATTGTCTGTTTATACTTCAGGTCGCGTTATACTGTCCAACTCTAGTTATTTTGATCACAACAATCATCAAACGAAAGATCATGATGGTACCTGGGGGAAATGTGGCGAGAACGTTGAACGCCCTTAGCTTTTGTTGATTGTCTAATTTTCGTATTTCTGGAAACAAAATCTAATGTATGATCTGTGAGTTAAGCTGGTGTTTTGTCAATGTCAGAACTGGGACCAGAAGCTCCGCCAGGAAAGGAGAAAAGGGAGGAGCGGCCTACCAAACAGAGAGAAGCGTCTACAACCCAGAGATACAGCAGTTGCATCCAAACAGAGGAAAAATAGCAGGAATGCAAAGTCAGCACGTCATTAAACATTTTGCACGAGAAGTCCTTTGGACAATGTAAAAAAAAGTCTGCATTCTTGGAGTGGCACAAGAAAATTGCACTATTGCACGTATGTCCTAATAACGACTATGAAATTTAGCTATTCTATAACTTTGTCTTTTTGTCCTTTTTTTTGCACGATTATTAGTGTTATAAAAAAGAAAGCAGCATCGAATCCCTGCACTGTCCTCGTTTGTGAAGACTGTCTCAGAACACGCTGGGGAGTGAGTTTGACGGGCTGCTATTAATCCGATGGTACACATTTATTGCGTTTCTAGGTTACGCAACTCTGAGACTGTGGTCACATATTTCATTGAAAGAATGTCTGAACAAGGGTCTGGAGTGTGTAAGGATCAGAATGTTCTGGTATAGTTGATGTCTCAAGGCCAAGACTGTCTAGCCCCCAAAAAACGGAATTGTTGCATGTCAGATCCGATGACCCTAATGATGTACAAGTTGCTCAGTTAAGACAGTATTGTGAACTACGAAGCATAGCGACGACCAACAGCACTTGTAAAACAAACACTGGATATAAACATGCCAATGTTATTTGGTTGCTTGTTTCATCAGCCTTATCCAATTATATCTACAATTAGTATCAGAGAAAATGTATAAACTGCAAGACGATTGTGTGATAGAAAGATAAGAAGCAAAGCTTGCATTAAATTAGTTTTAAAATGGTATGTTTTATGAACTATTAAATAAATAACTTTCAAACTCATTTGACTGGGTTTTGTGATGAAATTAAGCCCACTGCGATATTACGTATACAAGAAACAATGATTTAGTTCAGCTTTATTTATGACCTTCAACTAAAGGTACTGAGAGAGTGAGGTCACCTCTATAATAGATAGGATTTAATTTATGTTTAAGCCTTCAAAACAAGGTGGTTTAGTGATTAAAGTAGTGACATATAATCCTGTGACTGGCAGTTTCCAAAGCTGAATATTTTGAAGCATGAAAAAATTCAAGTACAGTAATGCATTAATTGGTATACTTTTCATTTTTTATTTCAAATTACTTCTTCTTTACCTAGCCTATATTAACTTTATCTGGCAATCTTAAATGGATTAGGCTGTTAAAAACCCCAAGCCAAACTTTTACTGCTTGGGAAAAGACATAATTCAATAAGACAGAACAAATGATTGTTATTTCATTTCCCAGACACACATCAGTTCTGTGAGGCTATCTGATTAGAAAATCAGCTGAAAGAGCCAAAACCCAGAAACCTTATTTGAATGACATAGTCCAACTATATGAGCCAACAAGCATTTCAGAGGAACGCAGATACAGTACTCCTTGTGTTACAGGTTGCTTGATTAAATATAAAGGCGAACAAATCATTTGTTGTACAGAGCTAAATACACTTGTGTACTCACAGTTAATTCAAAGCACAATTCCCAGGGCAAGGGATAGATGATAGTGACATAAATGATGTAATGATAGTCAGACTTTTAGTAACTGACAACAATCTGAGTTTGGGTTAAGAACCCAGTTAATGTATGTCCATGAAGCATCAAAGCATTAAATTCGATTAAAATATCACCATATTTTCTGCCAGTGCCATTGACTATGATATTCAGTAAAAAGTTGACAAACTGTTAACAAAATACTGTTCACAAACAGAATTTGATCCAGCTAATTAAATTTTACCTAAATCAATTTATCATAAACTGAACTCATTACGGTTTTATTCTTCAACAATTTGAATATTTTGCTTTTGGTTCTGAACTACAGTTTTAACTACCTTCTGGACAAATCTATATGAAAATAAAATATCTATGTCTAGGTAACTAAGGTTTTGTAGCTCTCACTCATGTCTTTTAATAGCTTCTTCACGTTTTGTTCAGTAACATTGCACAAAGAAAAACATCTGCATGTTTAAAGACATGACCTATTGGCAAATTTGCAGTTAAGTGGGAAAAAATAATTAGCTTTACACTTCTTTTTACTGAGCAATGTACCAGACTAGTAAAAACGTAGGTAAACAAAATATTTCAGGGTAAGATGGATTCCTGCTTAGAAGTATTCACAACAATTGTGTCACTACAATAGCACACTAACACATTTACAATACAAAGTAGTTCTGTTTTATTTTCATGGACATTAGAAAGGATAAAACACTCAACTCCCATTGAAACGCACTAAACGTTTTCAAAAGAATCTTAAGGCCATACTATAAATAATATGAGACATGTTATAAACAACACTGTGAAGGTTACACATTGAGTTTGATTCATGACTTTGTTGCTTATGAGATATCTATTTAGCTTCATTTCTGGAGTTGTTTATCATACTGCTGGACATGTCACATCATCCATAAACCTTTATGCTGCACCCTGTTTTAAATAAAATATCTTTATATCAGTTATATTTTATAGCATAAAAACTAATTTTCACATAATGAAAAAATACAATAAATTGCCAGTAACTGGATTTAATCTACATTTCAACATTGACAAAAAAAAGCAATAATTTATTTGTAATGTGTTAGGAGGCTCAACAGTAGACCTTTTGAATTTGTTAAGACACAATACAAAGTGCAGGATTATTGACGAGAGCATAACAGAGCTCAGATCAGCTTTAACCGCGCCCCTTCCCCCCCATTGATCTCTCACTCAAAAGACCAGCAGGGTACGAAAGGGTGAGATTTAGCATTCTTGCCAGGAAAACAATGACATTACTATATTACCAATGCATTGTGGTGATTTAGTTCCCACCACTTAAGAACCCTAAGTTAAGGGTTCAAATAGTCTGAAAGTTCATCCTCAAAGGCCATTAACAGTAAGGCTAATTAAAAGAATTAAAGTGCATTTTCCAATGAGCATGTGGTGCCTAAATAAATGTTTCCAACATTGCCTTCCCTCTTCAAACCACCTGTCAGCTACAAAACAGGGTTACAGGTTTTTTTTGTGACTACCAAAATGAACTCTGATCAATAGTAATAGGTGAGATTCAAGAAAGATGTGCTGTGGAATGTCTGTCAACACCCCTTCACATATTCCCCTCTGATATAGTACTCCATCCAGCAGCTAAACTAAGAACTGAATGGAGCCACCCAACTAAAATTAGTGGATTGAATTGCAAACAGTCTAGAGGACAACCTTTTGACCTTTGTTTAGCAGACCAGCTATCTACTGCTATCTGTAAATGTTTATAATTCAGAGAAACTCGATTACTTTTATTCGGCCAATATTTTCTGAGCTATCTCCTTCATGTCTTTTATTCCTCTTTCATCACACACCACTTTTTTGAGTGCAAACAAGGGCAGGCAACAATTCATGGCCATTTGAAAATGCTGCTTTTGACTTGGCTGCAGAAGGAGTGAATGAAAGCAATGTACCCTGCTTCTGGTGGCCTGTCACTTTTTCTGTGGAAACATCTAACTTCCCTTTAGCACCTGAAGGCTCTTTAGATAATGAGAAAAATTCAACTGACACAAGAATTTCAAAGTTTGGAGAAGCTTAGCCTTTCCACCATTTCACATGACACAATGCATCAGTGCACAGATATCTATGTCTCAGTGCTACTTGACAAATCTGTTGAATCTACTTAAAATAAATGTAGACATGAGCCAGTCTCAGCTTATGGTGTAACGAGAGTCAGCTGTAGTGTTTCTGCCTCTGAAACAGGAATTTCCCATTCTACTACATCATGCTATTCACAACAGATGGGGAGCAGATATCAGTGTTAGTTCATGAATGGCCTGCCTTTGACGAATATCCATACTACAGATGCAAAGAATCATGTTATCATTCCCCTGACCTATTATTGAGAAAACACCACCACAATTCACCCTGTAACCATTACACAGTAACAACCAAACCAACTCTCAGTGAAACAGTAATAAAGTCAGCAGGTAAGGTCACATTTGTGGAGAACAATCGAATCAACCTGATTGTATGAAAGGCGAATGACCTGAAATATTAACTTTTCCTCCTCACAGATGTTGTCTGACCTGTTAAGTACTTTTTAGTTCTTATTTTAAATTTAATAATCCATGGTATTTTCCTTTTTCGATAATCATGTCAATAATCAAAAATTCTTTGTTGTGAAGCATTTTCAAATGGGAAACTTTCTCTATACTGGAGTCAAGTTTGAAAGACAGTAATATTTTTCAAAAGATTAAATGTTTGATTTGAAAATGTTGTTGATTCCATTTCGTTGGAATGGTTTAAACATCTGTCATTTTTTAAAAAAAATATGAACTGAAGCAACACTGCTCACATACTAGAAATTTAGGCCAAAACCACAATTTCAGAAAGTAGCATTTCTGGAGAGGCTTACAGTCTTGCACAATCAAATGCATTTCAGATGAACATGAATGCTTCATATTTGCAATATGGATTATGCATCTCAGAATAATTATTTAATTATGAAAACTGACGTGTTGTTACATTCCAGCTTCAGCAAAGTTACTTATTTTTTGAGGATTGAATTAATTTTAAAGCATTTCTCTCCTTTGAGCTTCCATTATTTTGTCAGTGCTACTTAAAAACCGAACTGCAGAAAACGTACAGAGGCCTGGGATATCCTCTGTTACTTCTCTAATGGGTTAAGTGCTCAGCTTTTCTCCAACATTTTTCAAGTGTAGTACATTGAATAGCAGGACATATGTCTGGGACTATGTGGAGAGTCCAACTTGTGAATCTACTTCTTTTGGTTTCACTGTGCAGCCACTGAAGTCCCACCACAAAAAATGACCACGTATAACAACTTTGTTTAAAGTAGTTTAAAGCCAGATGTTAGCACAATGCCAAATGAAGACTCATCCACAAATTTTCTGACCTTTCTTAAGATTGAAAATTAGTTAAGAAACCTACGTCATCCAGTACTGTGGAAAACAATTGGACTATCAGCATTTCATGTCAGTGAATAATTTAGACTGTTTCATAAATATTTGAGGATTAAAAACATAGGGTGAAATGAATCTCATGTGCCCTTTCCTCAAACATACAAAGAGCATACAGGTGGAGTGAAGAAGTACAAAAGGTTGGGATGGTGAGGGTGACGATGTGCCATGCTTCCTGCTTTCACTGGCATCTTACTAGTGATCATATGGGTGTTGGGTGTTGGGTGTTGGGTGTTGGGTGTTGGGTGGCCCACCCACTGACCTTTGGGCCAACTGAAGCTTTTAAGTGGCCAGTTAGGAATCACTTATGACCCTCCCCCCATAACTGTTGGTATTTTCCCAACGTGAGGGACGTGCCTGTGATATATGGTGAAGCTTCCAGCTATACCCTTGTTGCCTGCAGTGGGATCAGGAGGAGGGTGGGTGGGGGGGAGTGAAGGTGTTTCTCCAGTTCTGGAAACTGTCATCCATGGAGACCCTGCCCAGCACAAATGAGTGTGCCTGAAACACTCTCAGATTCCATTTCCTGGGACCTGACTGACTGGCCCAGGTGAGGCCAGCCCACTGACTTTGAGTTTCATCAATGCTCCACTCCCAGTGGTGCTGCTGACTCTGTAGATTTGTGGGCCACCGATTGGTGGCCAGCCTTCGGAGGACTGGTGGACTACCCCGCCAACCAATCCCCACCCCGACCCCTCCCATACAGCCAGAAGCTATGACCTTAAGCAACGGTAAATGCCCAGCCAAGCCTTCCAGGGCCACTGGAAGGGGACTCACCTCTGGTGTTCCAGCTGTTGGAACCACCTCCAGGTAAAATTCACCTCACAGGAATTTCAAGACATAACAAAAGAACAAAGCTCTTCTAGTTC